TTTTTTTCTAAAGTTATCAATTTAACTTGTCATTATTATCACGAATGGCAAAATTTCAAGAGGGGCGAAGTACATTACTCACCCTTCATTTAAATTTCAGAATTAAATAAAGTTTTTTTCTTAGAAAATCGCTTCAAAGTTGAAAAAAGTTTTTTTCTTCCTTTAAGTTTACTTATTTAAATTGACTTTATTTTTGTGAATGTCTAAATTTCAGAAGGGGCGAAACGCAATATAGGCCCTTTTATTAAATTTCAGAAGACAATAAGGTTTTCTTTTTGAAAAATAGCTTCAAAATTGAAAAAAAAATATTTTTTTTCCTAAAATTACCAATTTTACTTAAATTTATTTCTTGCCTTCATATTTATTATAACCTCTTACTTCAGAGGAAAATTAGGTTTTTTACTTGGAAAATAGCTACAAAGTTTAACTAAAAAGTTACTTTTTGACTATTTTTTACTCGGAATTTTACTTGATTTTATTTTCTCGAATGTTTAAATTTCAGGAGGGGTGAAATATATTGTTTGCCCCCTCACTAAAATTTCGACTGCCCCCTCTGCACCCCCGGCTGGCACGCCACTGCGCGAGTAAATTTTACACTCATGCAATCGTTTAATAATAAATTCCAGACAATTTGAGATAGTAAATAACAATGTGTTGACATAAAATTGTGAACGAATTTATTATTATATAAATGATTACATCAATACTTAACATTTAAAAAATAAAGCTAGAAAATTATATTCTTCAGTTCACATAAGAGATAATTATTACTGCCTGGTTTAGTAAATAATAACTACTGAGAATACACATTAATATTCCATTTCCTTAAATAAATACTGTTACGTGATTTATAGCAAATATATCAGTAACATGACTATTCAAATTATTCAGAAAAGAAACTTTTATAAATGGAATCACTATGTTCATATTATAATCTAATGTAGCTAGAACCCTGTGAAACATATCAGTAACTGTGAAGTAGAAATATATAGTAACTCCTTAACATGGCGCTATTCTAAAAAATCCTTTGACAAGGTCAATTTGCTTATAATGCAGCTTGTGAATGAGGGGTGCTCCAGTTAGGAAAAGTTTTATATATTCTTGTAGAAATAGCAAAACTGACACAAACAGATTGGTGATTAATTTAGTCGTTAACTCATCTTCAAACATCTTTTAACAAATACTACTTTTTCTTCTTTGCAAGCACTGAATGTAAGTTTTGAATATATTCTCTTCCAGTTTCGCTGATATTGTAATGCCTACATATACTAATGATCGTCGATAGAAAAAACAGTCAACTTTGTAGTAACTAATTCAAGAAGAAAAAAAACTTACTTCTTACAAGAATCGCGATAGTTGATCTTGAAATAGCGTGAACATAAATTGCGATCTTGGATTTAAAAATCGAGTGAATACGAATCACGATAATGGATTTTGAAACCACGTGAATATGAAACTCGAAATTTGATTTTGAAAATGAGAAAATACAAACCGCGATATAGAATTTTTAAATCACGTAAATACAAATCACGATTCATAATTTTTAGATTGCATAAATACAAAACACGACACATAATTTTTAGATCGAGTGAATGCGAATTCCAATGCCTTAATTTTGAATCGCGGATAAATAAGAAAATCGATGTTTGATGTTATAACTACGTGAGCGAATCACAACATAGGATTTTAAACTCGCCTGAATACGAATCGCTACATAGGTTTTTAGAAACGCGTAAATACAAATCGCGATATCGTACTTTTAAATCTCGTAAATAAGAATCGCAATGTATGATATTCAAATCGGGTGAATAAGAATTGCAAAGCGCAACTTTTAAATCACGTAAATACAAAAAGCTATGTTTGATATTAAAATAGCATGAATAGAAATCGAGATATTTGCAGATTCCGGGCTTGGGACTTCTAAAAGGCTTGTTTGAATTATGAAAATACGAGCTATCTGGCAGGCGGGTAAAAATGCAGAAAATCTTATCTTCTGCGCATAAAAGCAGAGAAAATAGCTAAAATAAGTAAAAATGCAAAGGGTTGGTTACTATGTAGTTTGAATTTTCTGTTTATCTTTGAAAATAGAAAATAAATAGAATTATTTTATTTCAACGGCTGAATTTTCTGAAAAAGCGGAATATTTATAAAAAAAGTTACACTTTTAGAGAATCGGATCTTTGTGATAAAAAGGCTGAAATTCGAGAGACAAAAGTGAAAAATGCAGCGATCCGCTAAAGAGCGGAAAAATCTCATCCCTGTACACCCAACTGTCCTTAAGTACCTTGATATTTCTTACCCTAATGATCAGATTTTCACCAGCTTAGACACAAACTTAGCTATATGGTGGTCTAAAAACTTGAATATGATAATTAATTAGTTTAGGTGAAATTTCAAGCAACAAAAACAGATTTGGATTCTTGATCCCTAAAATATGTATCTTAATCTGGATATTACGGGCACAATAGTTTAGATAGGAGAGCAATAGATAATTTGAGCTCTTTCTAAAAGAAAACTTCAAGTTTCGCATAATTTGCTATTATAGCAACCAAATTGCCAAGCAACCAACCACAGTGCCATCTGAACAGGCAGTAGGTGCTCAGACTTTGAACAGAATGGACCTTCCTTTTCCTCAGTCTCATAATTATTCAAATTTATGTTTGTCCATGTGCTACTTGCTATTAATGAAAATGTTCGGCACTAAGCTTTTCTTTATTTAAACTCCTGAGATCTAGCCAGGGCCACACTATACATTTTTAAGTATTAAAGCAAAACTTAATAATTTTAGCATACAATTGTAAAATCATATTATCTGAAGATGGTTTCATAAAACATTAACATTTTAATTTTATTTGAAATGTTTCCATGCAAAGATTGCTGGTGAAACTAATGAATGTTTCAGTTTTAGGCTTATTCCCATAATAAAGATTTAAATTAAATTTTTAAAAATTATTAAATTATGAATTTTTTTAAAACACATATAATTCTTTTATATACATGTACCAATAGTGGTATTTATACCACCAATTGGAAACCCTGTTGCACCATTTGAATTTTTATAATACCTATTAAATTTCAAAAATAAAAAAAGAATAGCACTGCAAACGATTATTTAACAACCTAGTAGAAATAGTAATCATCCAAAAATAAAGTGGTTTGGATCATCACAATTTTTTAAAGACTAACTTTAAATATCATAAGTACGTTTTTGACTCTATTTCGATATTCATAATTATCAATAAGTTTCGTAGTTGTATTGTGTCAAAAATGCTAGTTATTTAAATACTTGGGATTTTTATCATTAAATATATGAAAAAGAATATTTTATGTGATTGTTTAATCAATAGTTGTTTAATCCATGAAAACTAATACAATATAAATAAATAAAAAAATATTGAAAAATAGTCTTGCACTTACAAAACACCTTTTCTGATTTTGATCTAGCATGAACATCTTTCAAAAAAGCTTGAATTTGAAAAGACCTAAAAAAAAGGTGATATTAAAATTTTTTAAGAGTTTTCATTAAGAAATTTTATTAAGATTATCCAAAATACATTAAAGTTTATTTAAATTTAATTAACCAAACAATATATAAAATAAATACAGGTGTAAATATAAAATAAATATAATATTTTAAAACTTGGAACTAAAATAATTTAACTCCTTTTCCTAATATGACACTGCTCATTAATGAGATCCATTTAAGCCAGAGTTTTGATAATAAGAGCCAAATTTATGTTTCTCATCATTTTCTAATTGTAAGAAAATTTTCTAAAACCCATTTCTCATTGGATCATACTCCTAAATCTGTTATGTTTCACACCAATTTCTTTTAAGTTTGTGCATGCTTCCTATATTCCCAAGAGATTTTCAATACATTATAGAAAGACTATCAATTATTCTGATATTTTTTTAAGGTCATTTTTATGTCATAGTGATCAAAATCTTTTTTAATTAAAAAATAATTACTTAAGTATACATTTTGCTACCACTAGGAGAAATATTCTAGTAAAAACAGAAAATGTGGTAGATACATAGTAAATTTTCTAAAAAAAAACTAATGATCTAAGATGAACATTGAATTTGCAAACAAAGGATTTGTATTTCTTTTACTACACTTTATTATCTCTTCAGTGATACTAACTTACAGCAAATGTTTTCCCCGACTGTGAAGATATTATTTCATAGACAAAGAAATAATTTTTTTATATTTTCAACAGAAATATAAAAATAAAAAATTAAATGAAACATAATTGACATTCTACAAGTAACAAAAAATAATAAATAAATAAAGGTTTCACAGACAATATTTAAATAAAATAAGCTCCAAAGTATTTAATTATATAAAATTATTATTTAAAAAAAAATCAGAATAATCGCTAAGAACTGAAGCAATGAATAAATTCATATGTATACATCAAAAAGGTTTTATATTTGTAAATGCAACATATTTAAAAAATATTTACCTACCATGAGATATACTCACTGGTTAGGAAAACTTATAACAATATGTTGTCAGAGAATAGTAAATTTACTGAGTATAGTTAATTTATAGTGAATATGCCACTTAAGATTTTAGTGCAAAAATAATTTAATGGTTGATCCCTCAATATAAAACATCCATTATATAATAAATACTATATTGTTGAATGGAATCTATCATTTTTAAAATCATATGAAGGAGAGGAATCAATAATTGTGAGCTGCAAATCTCCTCCCAACAAAATTTGTTATTAAGTTTGCTGAAAATAATAAGTGTATGACCTCCTGAATTCATCAGAATAAAAACTTGATAATGTAAAATTGTCAATGGAGTTTCTTTTTCATTAAATGGCCAAAATCCTAAAAGTGTAAAAGAATAAATCATGTGGGTAAGACTTATGCCTAAAACATGCATGTAATCAATGGACAGTCTATAACAGGGTTCCTACACTATTTTGAGAAAACAATATCCTGACTTTTGCAGGTTTTTCCTGACCTTTTACAATAAAATTCCTGACCCGCCGTTTCCCACTCCAACAAGACTTTTAACATTGCAGTTTTAATTAGTAATAATATGCTACTTAGTCATAAGTATCATAGATTGAATAGGATAAACACTTACTTATATATTAAAGTGGAATTGGGTAATAGCACTTTATATCCCAAATTATATTTTCAGAAAACTTGTAAAACATATTTTTAATTATAATGATTAGATTAAACTTTTAGTGTGTTTTTGCAGTTAGATACGAAAACTATTTAAATAAAAAGATCAAGAAAATCTGTCGGATTACGGAAATATTATTTTATTTAATGGTAAGTGGAACCAAATGCATGAGTGACGTCAGGATATAAAGGGTTAATCAAATCTGCGAGATATGTATCAGTATCCTCAAATAATATTTACTCTTAAAACATACTAGAACATTTGTTACATTAAGTTATTAATTTTTAAAAATCACCAATTCACTTCAAACTGACTTTTCTTTTAAAAGATAATATTGAAATATAAAGGGGAAAAAAGTCAAGAAAAGTTAATTATATATAAATAAAAATTCAGATAGAAAAATTATGCAACTTGTGAGAAAAATAAAATCAAAAATATCTTCTTTTTTTTCAGTAATTTTAAATTTATTTCTGTAATACTGTAAGCTTCGGGAGTAACTTAGGGGCTCCTATGTTATATAATATTTCTCAACATATTTTGTTGCTTGACAATTTCTGAATCAAGAACATCCAGTTCGGTTGCAGCAGTTTTCGTCAATTTAGATTTTCTTAATTTCAAATCATCTATCTTTTCTTTTATTCGTTTTCTAGAAATTTCAGCTTTTTTATTCTTTCGTTTTTCTTTTTTGGCTTCTAATCTTCGACGCAACAGTCGTAGGGGGTTTTTCTATCAGTAAAAGCTTATTGGTTGAAAACCTCAATGAAGACTCTATTATTTCACAAAGACGTGTGTATGATTATGTTTCATTTATAAATGGAATAAAAAACATAGACATTAATGAAAAAATGCTAGATGCTGTAAAAGAATCTAGAACAAGATGGAGACATGCATGAAAGACGATAAGAACAATTTTTATAACCTCCCACATATTTTCACACTTCTTTTCTCCGTGCAAATATTTCGAAAAAAAATTGTCTAATCTCTTTCGCTGTGGATAAAACTCTAAGAAACTCTTTTGTTCTTCTTTTTCTTTGGCAGCATCACAAAACAGTAAAAATTCCTTTTTTGATTTTTCTGCTGTTGTTTCAGCTACTGTTGTCTGTAAACCAGTTATTCATACAAAGAGCAATAAACCTAGCAACCCTATCAAAAATTCCTTATCATTGGATAAACAGGAGGAAAATTGCTAACAGGACAGGTTCTACCAGGGAAAGAGGAATGTTATCATGAGGAAATTACATATTTTGAATTACAGAATTTTTCCTTGAAACTTTATTTTTGCCTGTCAGTCTTTGAATGAACTATAGTTTTTTTTTATTTTCCTGACTTTATGAATATGTAAGAAAAATCTTGACTTTTTCCTGACTTTTTAGCTTAATTTTAGAATAGCCTGATTTTTGCAGGTTTTGCAGGCTTTCCTGACCGTGTAGGAACCCTGTATAAGTTCAAATTATCAAATTTTGTGATTTTGACAAGCATTATTAATAAAAATAAAAAGACGTTGGATCAAAAATTGAAATATTTTGATTTTGGTATTTCAAATAGATTATATTAAACTCCTCATTTCTTTTCATGGAAAATGGGGTGTCAACACTCAAAAATCAAGTCAAATGTCAGAAAAATCAAGTCAAATAAGGACAAAATATATTTTATCAGGAATATCAAGACAACTACGAATCCTGCATTTAAGACAACAAGGAATAAATTTCTGCAAATAAAAAAGTTATAACTTAAAATATCTACACATATCCAATATTAATAATTATTTTGCATAACACAATACAAACATAAAAATGACAAATAATAATTAGATTGTAAATTAATACCTACATTTAAGATTTTTGTAGTCTTTGATCATTACGTCTTATTACATCCTTCAAAATTTTGAAGAAAGTTTCATCATAGCCAATTTTCTTTCTATGAACTAAATAAAAAGAATAAATTTTTGAATGAAGTATCAAATAAAATAAATTGCAAAGCTTATAAAGTTTCAACATTTATATACACCAAGCGAAGAAAATTCCATTACCAAAATAACTAAGAACCGAAAAAAAACGAACTTAGTGATAAATCCTAAACAACAGAATAGATTTTATTAACATTTGTGTTCATTTTCTTTAGAGAACATTACATTTTTTAGTAGATTTAAGATAATTACTAAATTATCACAAATAATACTTTATCCACCTGGATATTAAGTTACGTAAATGAAGACAAAATTAAATAGATACAGCTTGTTTTATAACATTAATTTCTTTCCAATTAAAATTACATAATATTTTCCTAAATCAAAGTTTTGCTGAATTTCATTATTTATTAAGATAAATTTTTTATTCACAAATATATACAAAAATAATACAGTAATTTCATGTTTCTGAAAAATTGTTTCAAACCATAATTATCTACAGAAAAACTTCATGTCAATTTAAAAAATGCATTTTATTTGCTGTTGATTTTTACTCAAGAATACAAAATCAGGTCAATAAGTATGCTGTAAGGAGGACAGTGTTTTAATGGTGAGAACAGAGTCCCTAAAATATCTGTCAATAAGCTTTTCAATACCTTTTAACAGAAAAGAGGTGAGGCTGATTGGTTTAAATAATTTAGCCTCAAAGTAGTTATCCTTCCCTGGTTTGGGGATGAAATCTACCCAGGTATTCTTCCAAGAATGAGGTATATACCCAAAAGCTATACAAGCTAAGATCCTGCATAGAATAGAGGCCAGTAAATCAATACCCCTAATAAGCATCACGGTTATGATGTCATCCACGCTCAGCGACTTAAAAAATTTAGTAGCCCAAGCGACTTTTTCATAAGAGACCACCATCTTGGTGGCTTCCTAGTTTTTCTTACTACATGTAGTCGGGAGCTACTGTAAAAAGTATCACTTTTTACAAGATAAGACCCATGGAAGTGAGCTCTTGGCAATTCCCCAAATAATACATCAACTGAAATACTATGAAAATCCTCTTTTCTTCAGCAGACATTTTCAAAAACTGAAAGACATCCACAATCAAACTTTCTATATCACAATCTAATTTTTCTAATCCCTTTTTATAGCATTATTTAAAATATGTAAAGGATGGGTTCTTACATTAATCAAATTATTATGATTCAAAGAATCTTAACAGTCGAAATTCAAAATGATATATTAACATTTGGGCCATCTAATGAATTGAGCATTTATCAATGGTTATTTTATTGCTATCAATGAAATTCTTAACTATAAAATATATTTGCAGCTTCTAAATGACCTACGAACTGTGAGTCACAATTATTTCAAATTTCTCAAACCAATAAGAGATGTAAACATCCAGCAACTTTTTAGATTGTTTAGTCACTGTTTTGTCATAATATAAAGTAAAATAAGACTTCACAATATCTTGGAACACATTTTTTCTAAAATATGGTGCAGGTCAAAATTTCGTTTACATACTGTGCTTTCGCTTTTGAAAGAATAACATATTTTGCAATTGTTGAATCATTAAGTGATTTAACACAAACCTCCACTGAATTTGCAAATGGGAAATTGCAATTAATTCCATGCATTAATAATGAAATTTCAGATTTTACCACTTTCTCTTTTATACTTGACATAACCCACATTCTAATCAGGGTTTGTTGATTTAAATCAGCTTGATTTAAATCACGATTTAAATCATGATTTAAATCAAATGATTTTTTTAAAAAAATCATTGATTCAAATCAAAAAAAAATTTTTTAGCTATATATATTGATTTTAAAAGTCAAAAAACAGTGTTTTAAATTTTTGATACTTTTATTATTTTCTTTTCTTAGTATTAAAATTTAATTTAAATAAATTGCTGCATTAATTAATTTTAGTTAATGAAATTACTTT